TGAGTAGTGGCCTACAGCAGCTCTCTAGCGACCCTTTTCTTTTCCTGGACACTTTTCTTGCTGTTAGGCTACGCTACACTAGGCTATCGGTATCAGGCAACAGGAGACATTCACATCTTCTCATGTTGTCAGGCGCTGATTTATCATTTCCTCTTCGGGGGTGAGGGGAAATTTACCCTTTCATGTAGCTCTTCAGGGATGTTGCAGGGGGTCCCCTTTCGCTGACAACCCACCGCCGCGCGACAAACGAGAGATTCTTCAAAGACGACCCTCGGCTTTCTCTCTTTGTCCGGCCCCATGCCATTCATTCCTTCCTTCTCAAATATCCTCGCGGGCGAACGACAGAAAGAGTACGGACGATTCTCACATCTTGCCCCCCCCCCCCTGGAAGTAAGGACAGTCTGACTTTTCCTCTCCCATCGAGCTATTCTCTCACATTTTCTGACTTGCTCCACTTCTCGACTCATTTCCACATATCAATTACAAATATGACTCTCGGTGGCTCAACACTGTCACGATTTGAGGTTTTCGTAGTGGAGGAAAGTTTAGGGTGCAGCCGTAATCTCCAAAAAATATTCTCCCCCCCGCCCCAAAAATCGTAAAAAAACAGAAAACAGGGCACAAGACAACGTGAGTGACGACGGCAGCAACAATAATGAACGGCGACTATCAATTAGCATGTCTGTGGTGTTTTACATTATGTGACAGCATCGAGCTACGGTGGGTATTTCCGACGTAAAGTTGTTTGAGATACACGAGTTGTAATTCTCTTTGTTTTATGTTTAGTTTGACAGTGAACTTCATCCGGGAGTTTAAAGCCTGTTTTCTGGGAAATTGGCTGGAGTACTGCTTATTGTAAAGTCAGTTGAGTTTGTTTCCGCCACACAGTGCTGACATCCTTGATGATGTCAGCATTTTTCCGTCCTCGGATTGGTTGGACCGAGCGAAACTGGTCACGGTCAAGTAGCAAAAAGACGAGCAAGTCTGTCGTGATTTGTACATGGGAATACAAACAGAACATTTCTGCTGGGAAGTATTTTAAATTTTTTTCAGGTTATTAGATAAATATTGATTGTGAACTGCTTCAGGTGATGTACATGGCACAGCTGCATTTTTTTGGGATAATACAGATTTTTTTTTTTTTTTTTAACTGTGATGGAATAGTGTGGTATTAAGAGGTGGATTAAGTCAGGCAAGTCCCCAGAGAAGGCTCAGGTATCAAATGTACGACCCGCCACTGGTAATTAAGGCGAGTGTGTGGGACCGATCCCACGTTTGGGCCCTGGGGGTTGCGAAACCTGTGAAAGCCATTACGGCTGCGGCAAAACTTAAATCATGAGCGCGAGGCAGCTGCGAGAGCGCTAACCTGCCAGAAAAGTCCCGTTAATGCACACTGACACTGGACCGGCAGCTTTACGGGGTGACAGATTGACTGCCAGCAGTAAAACAGCGTCGGCGAGCGTGTGAGTAAACGTGTGACGTGATGTCACGAGGCGTGGAAGTCAGTTTTATCCCGAAGGTGCGTTTCAATTTGACGTAACGCTCCATTTAAAAAGTAACAGCCTATTTCTAGCAGATGCTTACTAAGCATACGTAGTCCATCCTTTGGGATGAAGAAGTTGTTGGGGGAGGGCCTCATTAGGGATCCTGCCCGTGAGGGAGGACAAAGGGGGGTCTCTGGCATTTGAAGGATGGGGTGATGACGGTAGCATGTTGTTTGTGTACAAAAGTGATATGGCTCGGAACACTGCTTTGACACTTGTAACTGCGCAAGACAAATGACGAAATGCGTCATCCCGTGTTGGCGCCCGTGTTGGGTTTTGTTCAGCGGTTTCGAACGTTTTCTATCGACCGCACTTTTCATATTTTCTCAACTCCTTCAAAAGTGAGCTTGTACCTTGAGTGGTTGTAATCGGGACAGTAAATTAATTGTTTCTCCAACCCCCCCCCCAAAAAAAAATGGGAATCTACAAGATGCATTATTTTAAACATTTTTAAAAAGTACTTTTTTAAAAAAATGTGACTGTTTTACGATCCCGTGTCCTTTTTCGAAAAGCATGTTGTGATGCAGCAAATACAATACAATACATCCTGATTTATATAGCGCTTTCACGACAGCTGCAGCTGTAACAAAGCGCTGAACAAAACAGTTAAAGTAAAATAATGTTGACGCTAGCCTTTTTTTTCTTTGACGTTTATCATAGTAACTTGTAGTCTTGGTTTTATTCAGAGGGGCCGAGTAGCCCAAAATCTTCTCTCAATCAAGCTTAATCTTACTTTAGAATAATAGGACTCAAGTCAAGTTAAAACGTAGGCCTCCAAATAATGACTTAAAAGTAGGTACTCAAGTACTGAGCTGTAACATTGGATTGTCTTTTTAACCTGAGCATGAATGTCAAATAGAAATTCTCTGGCGAGTACAATTTAAAATAGTTACTGAAGGGAATGTAACTGAGTAAATATAGCGCAATGCTACCCACCTCTTGTTTCAGTGGGCCTTAAATGTACATGGCCGTTCACCTCAATGCTATCCGGATTGTCCTTCGATCTGGATGCTAATTATAACAACACAACATAAGAACAGACTTCGGACAGGTAGCAACCAGTGTGTTGACTGTACAGTATTTGCCAAACCAACGTGATGCATTTTGAACATGCGCCCAGTCCGGTAAAGGTCACCTCACTGGGAAGTCACGCTGATTAAATCAAGTGTCCCTGACGTGCTTTTATGTTCTTGCCTGATTACGCTTGGTGTTTATTTGTGCAGACCTGCATCATGACCCGTGGTGATTTACACAAGCGCTGTGGTAATATTGTCACAGTCTTAATGGAGCCTTAATGGACTGCATAGTGTACATTGTGTGAGTGTCGTCGTTTTGGCAGCGGGGGTTGGGGTCGGCGGGGGGGGGAGGTGAAGCACGCTGGCAAAGGTGGAGGAGACTCATCTGAAATGATTATTTACGACAATTAGTGGATTGTTGTTTATCTATCGAACCCGGCGACGAACGGTGACAGTCAGGAAAAAATGACAGGCTCTTCCACTAGATGGCAGAATTACAAATAACCTGTGCCTCCACCCATTTCTATTCTTTTTGTTCCACTTGATCAGCAGAGCGATCAAACAAGAGCGAGTAAATGTGTGAGTAAATAAGACGATAATAATGGATGGTTAGTTTGTGTGCAAGCGACTTGGCGTGAGTTGTGGCCAACAGCTGCTCCTTGCGAGTGTCCTCATTTTGTATTTCTGTGTTTGGTTGCATATATTACACCATGCTGGCTAAATATGAACTCAATTTTCCATAATGCTCTATGTCCATTGTTTAACTCTTTCATTCCACAAGACGGACTTGTACGTCTTTTTAAAATTAGGCCCCGCCTACCAAGGACGTACTTGTACATCTAAGTCTTTTTTTTGCGTCATAGAGAGGAGGAGGGTCTGATGCAATCTGTGAACGAGAATAAGCCGTTTGCATTATGAATCATGTAAAAAAGCGACCAGTAGGTGGCAGTGGTGACACACGTGATTGAAATGCACGCTTTTACGAAGAGCTCTTTTTCTCCGTTTTTTTTGCCCAGGTATCGCCAGTTCCATGAGAGTTAGCCATTTTGTAATGCCGATTGCTGAAGAATGGAAAAAGATAGAACCAATTTTTTTTTCTGCTGAAAGAAGAGAGTCCAATCGGACATCCTTTTCCCACACGAGTGGGACAAAGTGAAGGTTGCGTGTGCTGTCCACTCAAATGTCACAATGCCTGAGCGGTACTATTCTTGTAACCGGCATCGAGCAGCCATTCCGCACCCGCGTGCCTCTCCTACGCACCCGCAGAGGTTGTGCATAGTGACAGTGTGTGCTTGAGTGTTGATGGCAAAGTCACCTGTGCGTCCAGAGCGTTGCCAGGTTGGGCAGACAGCTGAATGGCTTCTTATTTCAGTTTGATATTAAAACTAGGGGGGTCACCTGTCGTGGAAAGAGAAAGAGTTGAGGGCGCTAGCTGACATAACCTCCAGCAGTGGCGTGCAGACTGGAGTAAAGCTCCTACCATAAGATAAGATAAGCATACACACGGGGCAGAGTGAATCGTGTGTCCAACGGTTTCGTCTGGTACCTGCGGGCTAATGTATTTGACAGATGATGGCGGGCTGCATGAGGTCTTCCTTGAACAAATTTTTTTGACGAGCACCTGGATGTGCATTTGTATAAACAAAAGCCTACCATTCAAATTGCAGCCTTTTCAATTTGAAAAATTGCATTCTACTATATTGTGATTTCGATTTCAATTTGATTTATTGTTATAGACTCCCCAAAATAATAGAAGCGACCCACCTATGTGCTGCAACCTGCCATCCTCAGCCTCCTCCTCCTCCTCCTCTTGGGAGATAGCAAAGGCTTCTTTCCGACTAATCCTCCTAAAGAGAGAAAAGAAAAAAAAAAGCTCTTTTAGCAGCGGCCAGCTTTGATCCTGGACAAATGAAGAGAAAAAAAAAAACTGACATAAGCTACTTACACGGACCGGTCTTTTTCTTTCACTTCCTTCGTCTCTCGGCTCATCTCTCACCTAAACACGTCACGCCGGACGCCAAGGTCAGGAAGGTTGCCCCGGGGCGGCGTCCTTACAATATGTTAGAAGGATCAAATTTGATCCCGTGCGTTCCCGTCGATGCAAAAAAATAGACTTCGGAGTCTCAACGTAAACAGCATTTTGTAGACTAAACAGGCGAACTTGAAAGAGCCTCCTCAAAGACACTCCCAATTACATTTTGCTGTGATTTTCGAAGAAGACTGAGTCAGGATAGCTGGAGAGAGTCGACCATCCGGCCATCCATTATCTGAACCACTTATCCTATACGGAAAAGCAATGCGTGCTTGTTTCCAGCTGTGCTTTTCTCAAGTGACGTTTACTGTAAAACTTGCACAGAACTTGCAAATTGAGTTGATGATTTACGCCCATTTTAAAGCTTTATGCATAATATGATTTTTTTTTTTTTTTAATCCACTTCAGGTCGCCAGCCTCACCTTCTACAGGATACTATCTGTGACCTTGAATGTGTGGATTTAAAACGTGTGTTCTGGCCTGTTGAGTGATGTGGGAATCAGCTGTTGTAAGCTTCTCAGGTTAGTAAGCACATAAAAGCTCAAAAAGATGTCTTCTTTTAGTGTTTATCTTCAACTTTCAAAGTGTTTTCAGTCTAAAAAAAAAAACGGCACAAATGAGTTGGCATCACCGTTCCAACACTTTTGCAGTGGAGCATATTTGGACCTCTCATGTCGTGTTCCTGTGTGGTTGCGTGACACATCTGCTCATCTACAGCGCGAATTGGGGGGGGAGTTTGTTGTGTTGAAGCAAGCATCAACAGACACATCTGTGGGTTCGGGTTGGTGCGTGAAACAAGATCCCAAACACACACATTGGTACCTAATGATGATTAATACACTGCATTGATGATCGTGTGTGTGTGTGTGTGTGTGTGTGTGTGTGTGTGTGTGTGATGACGTGTTTGTTGATACGAGGAACCTTTGCAGCGCAGCGACCCTTGAACTTGAAATATATACGGACACACACACACACACACACACACACACACACACACACACACACACACACACACACACACAACACACACACACACACACACACGCACACACACACACACACACACACACACACACACACACACATTATAAACACTCCATTCAAGCTCCAGGTGTTCAACATGCACGCACACACGCGCACACCCGCGCGCATGCACACCCACGCACACAGCAGTCAATAGTAAAGGAACTTGTGTCAAATGGACAATGCAAAAGGACTGTCTCAACACCTTTTTTTACGTAAAAGTAAAAAAAACGACAAAATATTACAACAATTACATACAATAATTGTTAACTCAAACAAAACGTACCTGCATACAAAATAGTTTCCCTCTTGTGGGTTTTATGCCATTAAAACGACATATTCCCATATGGCACCATAGTGAACCGACTAACAAGGAATACTAGACTAGCTAAGGAAAACATCTGAAAAACTATTTACACGCTGCAACAATGAGGCACTCTAAAGCGGGCGTGCCAGCCCGAAGCCCCCGTCCACACATTGGCTGTCTCACCGGATTTTGATTTAAATCACTGCACTCATGGCCAACAACGAGGCGCTCTGAAGTGGCCCCACCAGTGGAATATCCAAAAGGAAGATGCAGCTAGCCAAATGCTCATCGCAATTGTGCCGGCTAACTGCTCGTGCGAATGACGGCCCTCAAGTTCTTATATAGTGGGGGAGGGGCTACTCATGCTGGATACCCACTGGTTACCATTTTATCCATATCCGCCTAAAAAAAAAATAAAAATCAGGAAAACTGAAATGGTGATTCTCCACAATTAACTACGACATAGTTGTTATTCTTTACCCATGTTTTCAAGAGTTATCTTCACACATGCCTTATGAGTTTTTTTTCTTTTCTAAGGTTATCTACAACAGCGTGTGAGTACTCTCCCTCCGAGTTTGAAGTTGAAAATTTGCAAATGGGGGCGGGGCAAGTGACTGCAAGTAATGAGTGCGTCACGATGGCAATGAACCTCCAGTCAAAGTAAGCCTGATGACCAACATCTTCATGACACTGTAGATTACATTCCTCCTCCTCCTCCTCATCTCGCTGACTCCCCCTCACTCGCGCATCAGCTGACAGTAAAAAGTGCTTTGATCAAGTGACGTTTACGTCACTGCTATAACCTTTTAATGTTTTTGTTTTTCTCCAGAACCTACATAGAGGGGTGACACATGGGCAGAGGAAAAAAAAAATATTTTTTTAAACTCAACTAAATACAGAGATTTGCTTCGAAATACAAAGTACATTTCATGTGAAGATAGTTGCTGAAAAAAATGTGCAAATATTATGGAATAAGTAATCAATTGAGATTTTCACATTAAACTGTGATCACCATTTCAGTGTTCCTGATTTTTTTTTCCCGTGACTAAAACGCCTAGTGATGCACTTGTGTGTCGCCCCTTGCCCACTAGAAGAACTGAGAGCCTTTGTTTGCATCAGTGATTATTCAGCGCAATTTGGACGTAGCTAGTGAGGCCTCCAGCTCGAAAATGCAGATTGACAACTGCCGTGGCCACTTTAGAGCGCCCCGTCTTCATCTGTGTGTGTGCACCTGTTACAAAAAGGCAAACTAGAAATCAGAGGAGGAAAAAAAAATCTGTCGTGACAGCTCTGAGAACTGTGAAAATAGGGCATTCATGCTGGCATGGCTGCGTTAGAGTGCCTCGTTGTTGCAGCATGGAAAAGCCTGACAGCGACTCAGTGGGAAATATTCCAGTTCCGCAGCGTTTTAGAGGGGAAAGAATAGCTTGATTAAAAAAAAAAAAATTTTTTTTTCAAAACGTTTTTGAATCCTCATTTTTATCAAATTGATTTTTTTAAACATACAAATTTGGCAGGGTTGTTGGCAGCACTCGTCTCTGTGCTGTCAAAATCACTTCACCGAGACTTCAACACTTATACACAATAAAATATTCTACAAGGTGACTTCAACCAAAGCTTTTTTTTGTAAAGGTGAAACACCTTGTAACGTTTTAAAATCAGAATTGTCATAAATCACCTTTATCCCAAATGCGAATGAAATCAATTCGTATTAAGACTCCTGTGCAAGGTATTGCTAACAATCAGATTTCTTCTTTCTTGCTTTCTGGTTTTTGTTCTCGGGATTCTCAGCTATGCGGTTTATTCTCCTACACAAGCAAACGTTTGCAGTGCACATCCAGTAGGATGGCGTGCAGCTAACATGTCGTGCAAATGTTTACTTGGGAGCTGGATAGCCGCAGGACTTTGACAGCATGTTTGACGGTGCGCTCGTCCCGGATAACGGCAGCAGAAACATCCCGTGCTTCCCACATTATGCCACCGATGCAGGTGCGGTGTGGGAGAGGAATGTGAGGATTCTGCCGTATCTACTGGCACGCATGTGAATGGGATGTCTCCACAAGGGAGGATGATTGGCCAATTTGAAAGAATTATTTGTTCACATATTGGCAGATCAACTTGATACATATACGAGTCAGCAAAAAGTTCGGGAAATTGGCTTTGGGGTAAAATTTCAGTGCGAACCCAAAACCGACTTTCAGTGAGCAGATGTTCACCTACTGCAGGTGAATCTGAAACGATGAATGGAGGTTACTATAGGTCATTTTGGGCTCACCTTGAAATTTCAGATTTTTTTGTGAGTAATGGATGTGGGCGCCAAAGCGATTGACAGGAATCCCGCACTCAGGCCCAAAAAAAACAAAAAAAATCTTTCTCATTGATATCCAAATCCATTAAACATGAGATAAGGCCATTTGGAATGCTTTAAAAGATATTTGGAAGCCTCGTCTGCTGCTGCATTGTGGGAGTTTTTTTGGACCATCTCATCGTTTTCGTCTGGCCGAGGATCTGAATGCCAATCACGAGACTCTTTTCCCGCTCCAGTGCAGTGGTTCACTTGCTGGCAATGCGTTTGGGCGTTTATAAACAGCGGTGAGGGATGAGGAACACAAACGCAGAAAACCTCCAGCACGGAATATACACACTCGGAAATATTTAGCAGATAATCTGACTCCCCACTCGTCCTCTCGACAAGATCAATTCGTTCCATGACCAAGCTTTTAATTAAATTTACTTGTATAACAAGTGCAGTTTTCCTATATTATATTTATTTAATTCAATGTCATTACTCCCATCAACCCCATCAACTTTGTGAAAAACGACCATTATTATTGCACTTTTTACGGAGTCACACTGCTGTACTATACTGCCCCCGGTGGTCAAGTTGCACACACCAAAAATGGTCACAACGATTTTATCATGATGCACAATTCTTTACATCCTATTCAATTCAGTTATGAATATACGTTTTGAAAAGGAAATATGGCGAGTTACTTTCCTTATTATTATCCACTCTTTCAAAAGTCATCTAAATAAAAACTCATTAACTCACTCATGACCAACTGCAGTCTTTTTGTGACCTAAGCACGGTATGTCTTGTCATGTTTTGGACTCGTGTTGCTGGAAAATAGTCCAGTTTGAATGTAACAAGTTAATTTTTTTTTTTTTTACAGTTCCTGCATAGGATTTTGTCCTGGGATGGTGAAAAACACTCTTAGCACCTGTTTCATATTCTATTCTGAAAGTCAACGTGAATGTTTAGCAGCGGTAAGACGACACTTCATCGGTATAGTCGACATCACGTGTTGCGCAGTTGCCATTGCACTGAAAAAAAAAAAATTAAGTTCAAATGTAAGGGACATACGTATTCATTTAAAAAAAAAAAAGGGCTGATTTTGATGTCAGCGGCGGGCGTTGCTCAGGACATGAATAATGGCCGCTGCTCATGGAAATCGTTGCAGTGTGTTACGGTGACCTGGCTCGGACTGCAACCCGAAATGGAATTTGACCACCGTGAACGTTATTGTTTGCACCTGTGCCTCTTCTGCTTTGACTTTTACATTTCTTTTCCACAAATAGCAGCCAGCTATACACTCATGGTCTCTTTTTTCCTATGTCAGTGTTTAGTTCGGTGGACTTATCTGGTCATCCTTTCAATCGGTGCCCTCCCACGCGATGTAAATGTATATTTTGTAAATGCCTTATCCAATGCGGGCCCCCCTTTTGTTACATTTACATGATGAAACCAGACTTCTGTCTGTGGGTGTTTAATGGCAGCTCATTCACCATCGTAGATTTTTTGTTTTTAACCTTACAAATGTGTTTAAAGACCTTTTCCGATAGATTTGACCGATGATGGACTGTATGACGCCGCTTTTCCTCATCAGCAGCACACATGGAACCGCAAGCCCGTTCTAATTTGATGACTTTTTGGAAGGCGCTCACAAATTCAGGTCAGCCCTGCGCGCCTGCGACGGGACGGCCAAGACAAGCGCACGCTTTTTGCTGCCGTTCTACAAATGAGCGCAAATGGAGCGAGAGGACGCGGTAGGAGGCAGACGGCAAGCGCTTCCTGTTTAAAGCCTACGAATACACATCGTGCGGTATTAGATGAAGAACAAAGCAGACAAATATGTCGGATTTATTTTCTAGGCAGCGGGGCGTCCAACCTCTGATGTTTTTTAGCATCTCTCAGTGAATTTTTTTCTTTTTTTCACATTGGTGCGAAAGTGGCAGTGCCCCTCTGGGTCCGGAAGATGGCACTTAACCTTCCATCCATCCATTTTCTGTCCAACTTGTCCACAGTTTGAACAGTTTAAAGTTACATCTCCACTATTGAGCACTACACAGGATCTTGAAATTGTTTTTGGGGGGGAAAAAAAAAAGCAAGCAAGTACAGTATTGTTCCTGGGTTTTAGGCCCCTTAAGTGGTTGTTTCCTCACCCTTTGTTTTCATAGCGTTGCACCTAAAAGGATGCATTGGCAGAGAGAGTGGGACAAGACGAGGCTAATCGTGGTTACCAGCAACATCGGAGGACACTCGGGGAAAGTAAAAAAATAAATAAATAAATAACACACACACACACACACACACACACACACACACACACACGCGCACACACACACACACACACACACACACACACACACACACACACACACACACACACACACACACTCGTCTAAACCTCACTCTGCAAAAGCAAATTGAAAGAAGAGATAGTTTGAGGTTGTCCCGCCAAAACTAAAATAATTCCAGGTGTTTGGCACGGAATACATTTGGAGACACTCCCTTGCGGTTCCCATCCTTTGTAATTGTGAAAACAGTCGTCTCGAAGTTCCTTTTGGGCCATGAGAGGAAAATCAAAAGCTGACTTTAGACGTAACCAATAAACGTTTTTGGACCTCATTTGGACACATTATATTTGGAGTGGTATTTGTTCTCTCTTTCTCTTCCAGCTGGTGGATTTCTGGCCTGGCTTCCTCATCTTTTATTCACCCCCCCACACCACATTTTTCCCATGGATTTGATATATTCAACATTGTCCAGGATGAGCTCAGAATGTGGACGGTATTCTTACTCACTGTTTACACACATCACAGTTACTTAAAAAAAAAAAGCGCTCAAGTGCGTACGTCGTCATGTTATTGTCTTCCCATGAAATTGATCTCAGTTGTGCACAATGCTTCAAGTTCACATGATGGATTGCCAACAGCAACTCATCCATCACCTTAAAGGATACCTGACAAACAACATTATCGACTCCGACAAGGAGGTAATCTTTGAGGTTTAACGACACGTCTCTCTGTTTATCTCTTTGAATCCTTGTTTATCGTGGGAATATGTTCCAGACCCGCACAAAAATTTGCGATACAAGCGCGCCAAGGTCAAATTCTTCCCCCCCCCCAAAAAAAGACAACCACAGCTTTAAAAAAAAAAAAAAAAAAAAAAAGGTAAATGCATTGCTACAATTTCGATGTGAATGATCCACTGTTAAAATCTGGATTTCACCGGGGAGACGTTTTGTATACTTTGTAGTTTTTTTTTTTTTTTTTTTTTTTTTTTTTACAGGAGTTGATGCTTTTATGACAAAATAAATTTAATCCGCATCGTGCCCATTTTTTTTCCCATATCGAAAGCAGTCCCCTAACATGCAAAATAAATAAATAAATAGAACTCGTGAAACACATCGAGACGATTATGTTGGATCTTGAAGGCTAAAAAAAAAAAAAGAGCGACAAGGTTTCATCCGGGTGCGGAAATCAATCTTGATCCAAGGTAAACAAAATGTCAACACCAAACTTCCTCACTCATTGATTTGACAGGCGGTCCATGTTTAAACCTTGGACATGGTCCGCGCTCTCCCGAGTGCTCATGTCCTTCAAATTCGTTTTCCAGACTCTTCATATTTTTCACACGCATGTTTCGTTTCCCCCTTTCAACGGGTTCTAAAGTCTCCCTTTTTTGTCAGAATAGGTCAGCGCTTGAAAAAGACTTGTCACTCCCTATTGGGTCATAACAGGAACGATGCTGCTATTATGGAAAGCTGTTTGAGCGTTTATTTCAAAATCCTTGATGTTAAATAGTGGCAAAAAAAATTTAACATTACTGGCAAGATATTTGCGCCGCAGTCATTCGACTCGTGTGTTGATTTGTTGAAGTAGTGAGGACAAACAGCGAGATAATGGGTGCACCTCAAGATGGACATCAAGTAATCCAGTAAAATGCAAAAACAGCTTTCCAGCGGGGATTGATAAATGCTGTTGATGTTATGACACAACGGCCGCTTGTCGTGCGCTTCCTTTTATCATCACTCATCATCTCCATTAGCGGCGCGGCTTGGAAATGCCGAGGACAGATGGCGTTCTAAGCCGCTGTTTCCCCACACGTTTGATCCCCTATAGACGGGTAACCAACCAGAACC